TGTTCGGTTTTTCGTCCGAAACTGACTATATTAGCAACCTTATATAAAAAGCAAATCCGTCCTCCTTTAACAATTGCCAAGCTCTTTCAATAAAAAAATAATATAAATATATAAATATATGTTGTTATATTGTTGTTTTAAACTTTTTTCTAATATTCATTTTACTCGAATTTCTTTTTCAATAATTCATAAATTCTCTTTAAAACTTCTGGCTTTGACCTCAAAACAAAGTTCTCATTGTTAATCGCTTTGATATATCCATTTTCATCATAAACAAAGTTATCTTTATAAGTCTGATTACAAATTTGGCATTGCGGGATAATATTTTCTAAAACTTCTGGCTTATTGGGGTCAATATGACCCTTTTGTAAAACGACTATGGTATCTCTAAATCTAGGATGATGATGATTTTCCAAAGCACCACAATTTACGCATCTGTTATCGTAAACTATTTTTAGTTCTTCTCAACATTTAGCGGATAATCTACCTTCCCTTTTTAAAATCTTATAAAGAAAAGTTGGTTTAGGGTTTTTTATATCAAAGAGAACATGATAGCCATTGGCTACTTTTTGCTTGGTTTCGGGAATATATTCATTTCGGTTCAATAAATATCAACCATCGGCCGCTAAATGTCGGACTTGCTGGTCTCGACCAATTTTTTTAAGATTGCGAACGAAATCGGAAATAGTATCTTTATGGACTTGATAATTCCGAAACTTATAAAGGTAAATTAGCCACAAAGATTTAGCGGAACGCCATTCAGGCAACTTAACACCGCGGTTTGCTAAATAGTCCTGATAAACCTCTTTTATTTCCTGTCAAATTTTTCCGCATTCTTCCCATGATAAAAAGCAATGTGAACCGGAGATGGCTAACTTTTCGTAGTTATTCATGTTTTTTTAATCTATTCTCTGCTAGCGAAAAATAATAATCATTAATTTCAATGCCAATGAACTTCCTATTAGCATTTAGACAAGCAATACCAGTGGTGCCGCTTCCCATAAAAGGGTCTAAAATAACTTGATTTTTTTTAGAAAAAATAAGTGTCAAGTATTCAATCAATTTCACGGGTTTCAAAGTCATATGATTAATTGTTCTCTCTTGGCTGGTTGGTTTTTTTACATCCATGATAGTGCTGGGAAAATTACCATTTAATGATTTGTCTATATTAATTAAACCAGTTTCTCATTTAATTCAGTTGTTAATAAATGTTCCTTCTTTGGGCTTTTGGGCTAAAACTATTGGTTCGCTCTCGGATTTTAATTGAGGGGTTTTTCGGCTAGCTAGTGATTTAAGAATAATTTTTTTTTCTTTCTCGGAAATTTTCATTTTCTTAACAAAATGTTCCTGGGAAAAGGCCTTGGCTTGTCCTGATTTCTTTCAAATTAGCATGTCGCGAATTTCAAATCCCGCTTCTTCAATTGCTACAACCATTCGGTGATATAAACGACCTTGCGAGAAACACAAAAAGAATCCTCCTGGTTTCAGCACTCGCAGAAGTTTTTCAGCAACTACCGACATAAATTCTTGTAATCTTTTTCCTTGTTGAGGGTCAAATTTCATTCCTACTGGCAAACCGCCGATTACTTTGGCTTTTTCTTTTCGCTGCTGTAATTTTTCCAGATTTCAGTCATTTTCCATGCCATCGAGAAAATAAGGGGGGTCAGTAATAATACAGTCTACACTATTGCTTTCCATTTTATCTAATGCTAATAAACAGTCAGCCTGGATTATTTTTATATTTTCTTTTATTGATTTAAAATTGAACCTTTTATTAGCAACTAAGGGAATATTTTCAATAATTTGATTAATCCTTTTTTGAGGAGTTATAATTTCTGGCATTTTTATTTATTTTTTAATTTTTTCTATCCTTTGAAAAGTAAGGCGGGAGTAATACTGTCTAAACGGACTTCAAAATGTATAAATCTTTTTGTGTTTCAGGTCTGATATAACAAGGCACTAGTATTCCCCATTTAGCAATCATAATAAGTTTAACTCCATTTTCCAAGTTAGCACAAATTATATCACCTACTAAGTTTTTCAAGAAATCATTAGTGTCATTTTGCTTAATAAAGGAAACATTAGGCATTGAGAGTTGATTGAAGGTTCGGTTGAGTCAAAAGTTTTCCATGACTTTTTAAAAGGCGTTAATCTCCCCACGCAAGAAAAGTATTACCTTATTCTCGATAATGCTCGAGTTCATATCGTTACTAAAAACTACCAAAAAATAGGCTTACCTACTATGAAAGAATTTTTATCAAGTAGAAATATTGAACCACTACATTTACCGCCTTACACACCCGAACTTAACCCTGTTGAGTTGCGTTTTAACTTTATTCGTTCAGCAAATAGAGAAAAATCTACCCCGAACCTACGAAGAATTAAGGAGTGAAATTACTAAGACTATAAACGCTCTTAACCAAAAAGAGTTAAGTCAGTATTTTCGACACTGTTTTGCTTATGAAACCTGACATTAGTTATGAGCCTTGTAATAATAGCCATGAGACCAAATTTCTTAAAGGTCTCTTTAAACATTTCGTTCCCTTCCCCGATTTTGGCTAGTAAACACTTTTTTACTTTCTCGTTCCAATCCGAGTTTTCAATTTTCGCGGCTAACCGCGACAAAGGTGTTTTGAGTAAAGGCATAAAGAATTCCCAAAACCAAAACAACTACTACTAATGATATTTTTTTCTTCCAGAAAAGATTTTAGAAAAAGGAACAGATAATCAGATTAAATTTTCTAATTTCTCCAACTATAAATTATTACTCGCTATTCCCTAATGTATAAGTTCTGGATTTGATCCCACTACGAAAAAAATCGGTAAAAAATAGTTCAAACAAAAATAAAAAAAATGAACGTACTGCTCTTTTTCACCTTATTGGAAACCTGAAAAAAATTTGCTCGCCGATACGAGGTTATTTTTCTCTAACCCTCTCGCTCGTTATTGCGGCCAAAAATCGAGCCAATCCCCGAGTAATAGCCCAAGCCATAGTCGAGCAAATTGATTATCCGGACTTGGAATACACTATTACCAGCCAAGGATACATCAATTTCCGTTTTTCCCTTAACTACTACCAGCATCTTTTGCAAGCAACTTGGCAACAAGAAGGGAAAAATTTACGAGGTGGGGACAAAAATTTCCGGGTAAATTTAGAATATGTTTCGACTAACCCTACCGGATATTTACATTTGGCTCATCTACGACAGGCCGTTATTGGCAATACTCTGGCTAATGTTTATCAGTTTCTGGGTTATGAGGTAACTCGGGAATATTATATTAACGACCGCGGTGAGCAGATTATTTCCCTAATTAATTCGGTTTATTATTTTTATCATAAGTTTCAAAATATTTCTTATCCGTTAACTACCAATCTGACTTATCCTGGACAAGCAACGCAGGACGCGGCCAATTATTTAATCCAAAAGTGAGAAAAAAAATTTTTACAACGAAAACTAGACGAGGTGTCCTTTAATTTTTGAAAAAAGGAAATCTTGGGATTTTTTTTGAGCAAAATCCGGCAAGATTTAAATCGATGTGGAGTAATTTTTGACCGCTGATTTTCGGAAACTAGTTGTTACGAAAACGCTAATCATTGTAAACTTCTCGAAAAGTTACGAGAAAAAAAACTTGTCTATACGGCGGACGGGGCCTCTTTTTTTCGCACTAGTTTAGCTGGAGACGAAAAAGACCGAGTAATTATCAAACAAGATGGTGATTACACTTATTTTTTTTCCGATATTCTTTACCACCAAGATAAGTTAAACCGTGCTGATTGCGTAATTAATATTTGGGGAGCCGACCACCATGGCTTTATCCCTCGCTTAAAAGGGGCTTGTCAATTATTAGATTACAACCCCGACCGAATTAAAATAGTGTTGGTGCAAACGCTTAGTTTGCTGGCCGAAACCGGACAAACCCAAAAGTTTTCTAAGCGTTTCGGAAATACTATCACCTTGGACGAAGTCGGCCAATACCTAAAACTCGACCAACTAAAATTTTTTTTGTTGGAAAAAGAATCTAACCAGCCGCTTCATATCAACACCACATTACTTCAAGAAAAACAAGAAAAAACCCGCCTTTACTACATCCAATACGCTCACGCTCGCTGCCACCAAATTTTTCAGAAAGCCCAAGAAAAAAAAATATCAGAAATTAGTTCCCATCTCAATCTATTAACGGAAAAAAAAGAACGAAAAATACTTAATTTGTTGGTTCGCTTCTCCCTGGTTCTAGACAATATTGTCACGGAAAATAAAACCCATCATTTAATTCATTACTTATACGAATTAGCCCAAGCCTGACAGTCCTACTACCAAAGCCACATCATTCTTATCCCCGACCGACAAGATTTAACTAGCCAAAAACTTCTCCTAGTGAAAAATATCCAAATAATTTTAGCATTAGGACTTAACTTATTAGGACTAGAAGCACCGATAAGGATGGAGAAAAATACTTAAACTATCTCAGAAATTCTTATTGATTGCTCTCTCTCTCTCTCTCTCTCTTCATTATAATTGGATTTTGTTCACTTGATTAAATAAATCAGAGCAGAGATAAAAAATCCAATTGTCACTATTAATCCCAGTAAAAAGCCGGTAAAAACACAGCCTAACATCGAATCAGAAAATCACTCACCAATCTTTTTGTTCGTTAAAGCTTTCCCTAACGGACTGCTATACGAAAT